GTGGGGCGGAGATATTAGACCAGCAATTAATAGAAACCCTTCCTCTGCACGGGCGGATAGAGTCACCACGCAGTCACGCCCGAAAGCTTCCCGGTGAAGATGGCAGTGAGCGGGCGGTTTTGGGAGCGAAAATCCCGAGGAAAAATGGCGGCCAGAGTGTTGTCTTCTTGACGACGCTAGCGTGAATACCTTTTTTTAGCATCATTACAGACACAAGCGCTCATATACACGCACATACATTCATCCCCATGAACGCACACACGCACACCCTATCCTATGAGCACCTCCGAGAGACTGAGCCGCCATATCATCTTGAGATTTACGAAGTCACCGTAAGCGCTTCGTCGTCGACGGGAACGTCTCCTCCCACTGAAAGCGCATCGCCGGAAATCCTGAAATAAATCCAGGAATAATGCGAGCACCAGGATTTGAACCCTAGTGGGTTGGGGATACCAGCGTGAATACTTGATACGTATCGGAGACGTGATACGGAAATATGACGGATAAGCCAATTTTTCTGAAAACTAAACTAGGATACGGGGATATGTTCATGGTGTGGGCGACGCTACCCGTCCGCCGGCGGATAGCGCTAAAATATCAACCACCTCTTGTACCGTCCGATAGACATAGAATTAGCCATCAGATCTCCCCCAATCGCGCGCGCCCCGAATTGCAACAAGTCGGTTGTTGCACTTCTTCCTCTGATAGTGTGAAGCGAGCGGTCCGTTTCGTTTCTCTAATTTTCTGTAACAATACTCTTGTTGTGAAACCTTCTCTTCTCTAAATTCCTGCAATAAGACCTTTATTGTGAAACCTCCTCTTCTCTAATTTCCTGCAACAAATCTGTTGTTGCAAAACTTCTTCTTCTCTAATTTTCTGCAACAAGACCCTCTTCTTGCGAAACCTATTCTTCTCTAATTTCCTGTAAAAAGAGCTTTGTTATGAAACCTCCTCTTCCCTAATTTCTTGCAACAAGTCAGCTGTTGCAAAACCTCATCTCTAATTTTCTGCAACCAGACCCTTGTTGCAAAAATTACAAACACACCTCCCGCCGTATCTAATTTTCTGTAACAAGATCCTTGTTGCAAAAATTGCAACAACAAAAATTGCAATAATATCTCCCATCGCGTCGCGCATTGGTACGGTCTTCGTTCGCTGCCGTCGTTCCGCAACAACACCGTTGTTGCAGAAACTTGTTCCAAAGGTAGTACATGGCATGGCAGTGAACACAACACCGTATCTATTTTTTTTACGTACAAAAAAGGTACTAGTAGCCAGTACTAGACTACTAGTACATGGCATGGCAGTGTGTCTCCATTCTAAAAAATTATAAACAAGTCAGTAGCATTCGACAGTGGGCGTATCTATAGCTCAAGGAAGAAAGAGCAGACAAAACAAGCAACGTGTTGGTTGGTTTCGCGGCGGCGGGTGCGCTCAGAAAAAAAGGGACGTTGCAGTGGGCTCCCGCCTGGATATGTGGTTGGCAGGGGGAGGCGGCTGATGCCTGCGCGTTATCAGCCGGTGGAAAGCGAGCGTTTTCCTATGTTCATGCCTCAAATAGAATTGCCACTTTTTTCTTGCATTTGGTCCACTTTTTTTATTGCAAATTTTTGTAGGTAGCTTACCAAGCTGACAGTGGGATTTCTCTAAGTTTGCTACCGTCAATCAGTCCATCGACTCTCTCTCTCTCTCTCTTGCCTCATCTTTTAACTGAACAAGAATATCGACATTCACGCCTTTTGACATGAACTCGTGCCGATGTCGGAATCTTCAAAAAATGTGCCTTTACTCTTGAGGGGATTTCACTTGAACAAAGGGTTTCATGTATCCAAATCGTATCGCAACAGCATCCCACGAGTATCAAACATTATTTTACTCTTTTTTAAAATTAAAAAATAAAAGGCTACGTATGAGATACGTATCTGGGGTAGTATTCAGCTGGATATGCGTAATTTCTGAAGTATCCGTGCAATCGTAGGCGGTGGCAGTGGGAAACCCGGAGAGTATCATACCAACTTCCACGTACACTACCATGATCTCATTTAGAAAAAAACAATTTTAATTGTTTCAATTTTTTGGGAAAATATGTTAATGCTCATAAGGAATATGTCTTTCCCTAAAATTTTCTTGTTCAAATTTGAAATGCACATTGAGAAGAAAAAAAAGGCAAATGCAAATGTGAATAGCGTCAATTTTGCTTTTGTCTTTTTGTGAACTATTCGTGCTAGATTTATCATTTTTGTTTCTCAATGTGTATTTTTGAATTTGGATCTGATTTTTGTAGGGGTTGTAGATACATACCTCATGAACATTCACAAAAGGAAAATCAGAAAATTATGATTTTTTTTCAGGGGTATGATTTCAGAATTAAGAACATGGAGGAAAAACACATGATTCATATGACATGGACTTCCCATGGATGTTGTTCCATTGCAACTAATTGGAACATGATCAATGGACGATTTTTCGGATCTGGTGAACAAGGTATCCTTGAGTCTCTCGTCTAGGTGGTGTTGCCTGCGGCGGCAGCAACGGCGTATTTTGCTGCCAAATATTACGAATGTCGAGGTTATAGTTTGCAGGATTTGTTGGCACAACGGAGGTTGTGGCAGTTTATCATTGTAGTTTGGTCCTGGGACTTAATCTCCATCATGTCAATGCTGCCTCCGGAGCTAGCATGAGCTGGTTCCTGGATATGTGGCTCTTCCGCAATGACAACTTCTTCTCCAGGGGCTGATCCTATAGAACTGTGGATTTCATAACTTCCTTCTGCAATCAACAACGACGGGCCGACTGGCTTTCTACATTGGAGCGATAGGCGGTGTTGTGCCATTGGCCTATTCAAGGGGATGAAGACGATGGGCCCCAAGCGCTTCAATGTAATTTCTCTATTTTTCTAATGGTGTTTGCACTATTTGTTTGGTTAACATATTCGAGTGTTTTTTCACAAATTATCAGTCAAATCGAATATGTCATACTCAAAAAATAAGAAAAAGGTCAAGATAATATTATAATGGAAGCGACATTGATGGAATCGTCGAGTTGTTAGAACTTTACAAAGGAAGCGACGTTCACTCGCATCTCCCCAAATACTCTTGTTGCCATGGTATAAATAGTACTACCTAGGTATTAAAATTGAACTACAAAAATGTCTTATATTTTGATACAGACAAGTAATTATCATCATCGATAAAGACCACACTTGATCTTATTTGTCATTTCTCTCTAATATTAATCACAATACACATATCTCTAAAGGCTTTAAAATCAGGTAATCATCCTTTAGGTTTTGAGCACTGCATAAACTGAATAGGCCAATGGCACCATCTACAATACATATTAGTCTGCACTCTGCAGTGCAAGATCTACAAGTAATAAATCTAAATCCACTTTTGTGACATCATGGGGATGTAGCTCAGATGGTAGAGCGCTCGCTTAGCATGCGAGAGGTATGGGGATCGATACCCCACTTCTCCATTCATTTTTTTAATGCAGAACTGAAATATATACTGTGGATTGTGCACTGCAAATATTTGCAAACTCCAAAATACTGTGGATTGTGCACTGCAAATATTTGCAAACTCCAAATCTTACGAACGTGGGCAGACTCCTTTTAGACATAGAAGGAAAAACATGCGCACAAAAATTTGCTGCATACCAAAGCAAGTGTGATTACAATAATCACAGGCCAAAAGAGCAAAATACCACCATCATGATTTTGTTACCGTCCTTTTTCTAAAAAAAAGGAGGAGCAAAATGATACTCGGAGACAGTTACAGCATTCAAGAAAACAGAAAACTCGTCTGTATGTTCAGCCTTACACCCAACCAAATTTATTCAGTCAGTCAATCTCACCAATACAGCATCCAGATTTCAGGAAAAAGAACAGCCCTTATCTACACAACAGGCTCCTGATCACAGCATCTATCAACAAATTCAGTTCCTGAAGTATTGACTAACATTCCCGAACAAATGATCAGTGTTGAACAATATCAATCAAGGAGGCAGTACTGACTAACATTCAGTTCCTGAGTTCCTCTGGTTCCTACTCGTCCGGGATTACCGTGCTCCTGCTGGTTGTTCACCATGCGTTCCTTAGCACTTTGACTTTATATCTTTTACCATCTCGGAATCATGTAAATGTAGATCGCTTTTCATCGATTCCTGAAGGTGGATACGTCGGTTTCAGCTCTCAGCAGGTCAAACCATAACAAGCTAACAGTAGCGCCGAGACATGCAACAGCAGCCTCGCAGAAAAATAACACGCCAGCCTCAAAGTGGACGGTAACATGCTGATCAACATAGCGCCACAAAAGCAGCAAGCAGGACAGAAAGTACCAATCTATTTTCTCCGACCGTTTCGTAACTTGTTACTACCAACAACAACAAAGCCTTTAGTCCCAAACAAGTTGGGGTGGGCTAGAGGTGAAACCCATAAGATCTCGCAACCAACTCAAAAAAAAAATTGGATACAATAACCAACAGTCAAGCTCTTTTCTGTCAAATGGTGAAAGTCAATGAAACAAGCACCTGCCAATATTTTAACAACGGTTAAGCAACAATCAGACACACAACCAGCTTCCCAAATATGCCAGGGAACATGAAAGGTCGAAATATTAAGCTACAGAAGGGAGCATCTGAACCAACCATTTCAACAACTAAAATGCCATAACTTCTCATGAAGGAATTAACAATCAAGTGCAATCATGCCTTTCGTGATAGTTAACAGTGCAAACTGAAAGTAAACAGGGGGGAACAGCAGAACACTTTCATAGCATAGATACTCAATTGTTTAGAAGTTAGAACATCAACATGGTGCTCAAGATAGCATAACAATCACGAATTGATGATAGGAGAAGTGCTACTTCAGACATACAAAGTGTTCAGTTCTATTAGTAGTACTAAAAGGTAATAAAAAAAACACATGGCTCGTAAGGGATAGATATCCCAAGGGCACAGCAGACAACAAGTCCAAAGCATTAAGATGGAGCAAGGTATCTTTATAGCACTATGACGAATGGAGCCTCCTTGTTCACAGCATTTTCTTGTGTCTCAAACAATGGAAGTGAAATCATGCTCTCTTGGAGGCAATGGGTAGTAAGTGGCAGCAGGTGGTATTCATGCTCTTCACTTTCCACATCTCTTAAAGACACACCGTCAATTTCACAATGCAACAAACGGCTAAGACGCTGCTGGATCAACAGCTCACGCTCATTGATCAGGGTGGTCATAGGGACAAGCATGATGCCCAAATCAATCGGTGGCGATACCTCCATTGCTAACAAGTTAATCTGATATTGAAAGCCCCAGGTCTCGGCATCATAGTCCTGCAACACCCAAATATCAAAAGTGACGCAGTCAGGGGCGGAGCGGCACAAAGCAAGGGCGCCGCCCATATCCGACAATGAGTCAGGCGACCACATATGGGTGTTCTCCAACCGTGCCGGGCAGCTCATCCGCCGGAACGTCTCAGCTATGGTGTCAAATACAGTTATATTGATACCCATTGCCCAGTGCAGGCTACCACGATGGTGGACTGGTGGATTTCTGGAGGACCGGATATCAGGAAACTCTTGTTTTGAAATAGTCGGCCACTGGATGCATCTTGGCTGGTCCGATCCCACGGTGAGGACCAAGTAATCGGGCAACTCAATTGCCATGTCTGCCCCCTGAGGACCAGTCGCTCTAATTGCTCTAATGACGGGTATCGGGACTGACACCCAGAGCACCCGGTGTTCTCCAGATGTGGTGTGCTGGTAGAAGCCAACTACGTCGACAAACCTGGAGCCTGGTCGTGACGGGGGATGTGGCAGGGAAGCACACTTGCGGGTGGTCGGGTTGCAGATGCGGAAATCGGATCGCTGCTGCGACATGATGAGGAGGCCATCACAGGCGGCGTGGAGTGTAACATTGTTGCTTGAAAAATAGCGTGCATATCGGAGGACGGGCTGTATCTTTCGTTCATTGGAGGCTCCGGTGAGTCGGCAGATGCCCTTATGGTGTTTGATGATGGGGAGCTAGGGCTGACGGCGGTGATGATCACGAATGAATGTGTTGGTGGAAGTACCGCTGAGCCACGACTTGCGGACGGCGCGGCAGCGGAGTATGTCTTTGGGCGGCAACCGGACAAGGATCTCGTCGACGACGGGCCACTCCGGCAGGTTGTCAAAGACGGTTGTGCCGCTGCTGTCCGCCATGCTGATTGCTCCCTGATAAGAAGAAAAAGAACAAGAAGCAAAACATTACGATGCCGCGTGAAAAAAGAAGAAAAGGGATTTGCTAATAAGAACACTCGGTGTGAGATTTTGTGAAGAAATTCCCTTTTCTTCTGAGGAAACAAAAAAATTCAATTTCTTTTGAAAGTACTAGAAGTATAATTTATTTGCATTTGCTGTCATGGAGCTATTGATCTGTAGGCATGGTCATAATCGGAATATGCGAGCAATGGGGCACTCTATTTTACATTTGTTTATTGCAACATGGTTATACAATCAAATGTAAATTCAACTATCTACAATTTTTATTGTGACATTTACAGATATCTAATATATTTCTAAAACGTACAATTTACTATCAACAATTTTTGTTACAAAATTATATATAGAATTTCAATATCACTTAGAGCATAATGAGCTCAAAGCCCAGCAGTAGGACCGAGCGCCAAATCCGTTCTGGTCCGTGCTCAGCGACCAGAAGAAGAAGAAAATGTAGATCTCGGCCTAGAGCTAAAGCGGCAGGAAACAAGAAATCACTCGACGCATGGAAAAAGGAAGGAGAAAGGCAGATCGGGCGGCGGATTGGGGGCAAGAAACAGTAGCCGCTTCGGCGATCTATATATACATATCGGCTAATGTTCAGAGAGAGAGAGAGGCGAGGGGATTTTACTCTGGAGCGGACTCTGGTGGCGGATTGCCGGCGGTGCCGCGACGGTGTTCTGTTCTCGGCGGCGTCTCTGGACTGGACGATCTGAGGGCAGAGCAAAGGGTCGAGTGAGAAAAGGACGAATAAGAAGGCACCCAAAAACAACCTAACCTGGCGCCGGAGAGACTCACCACGCCACGGCTGAAATCTTGGTTGAAAGAAAGCTTCCCGGGGAAGGACTTGGGAGCGAAAACGAGGGGTAGGGTGGAGTTTTCTCGGTGGCGGCGGCGGAGGATGGGCGGTGCAATGCAGCCTTGCCCATGATGTCTGCTGGCGATGTAGCTACGGAAATGGTGATAACGTCTGTTAATTAAGATTTGTCACCAAGGGGATGTAGCTCAGATGGTAGAGCGCTCGCTTAGCATGCGAGAGGTATGGGGATCGATACCCCACTTCTCCAGTATTCTTTTTTCATTTCCTTATCAGAATGGATACAGTAAAATCCAAACTAATCCAGTCATGAGTGTGAAGAAATACTATCTTCATTTTTATTTTTGCAAACTCCAAATCTTACAAGCATGCGAGAGGTATGGGGATCGATACCCCACTTCTCCAGTATTCTTTTTTCATTTCCTTATCAGAATGGATACAGTAAAATCCAAACTAATCCAGTCATGAGTGTGAAGAAATACTATCTTCATTTTTATTTTTGCAAACTCCAAATCTTACAAGCATGGGCATAGTCCTTTTGGTATATTACACATAAAGGGAAAAAATAAAAACATGAGCACAAACGAAAACAAAAGCAGTGCAATAGTAAAAAGAGTCAGTTCTCTTTGGACAATTGAGTATTTCATCCATAACCTCAAGGCGGGAACCTGCGCCCATCAACACGAAGTTGGACGCCAGCTGCTGATGTAGGACGACCATGATGAGGATGACGTACACGAACATGGAGGAAGCAGTGAGGATGACGTACACGAACATTTTAGCCCACCAGTAGTTCGAGACAATAAACAGTTGTAAACAACGTTATATTCTTTTTTCATTTCCTTATCAGAATGGATACAGTAAAATCCAAACTAATCCAGTCATGAGTGTGAAGAAATACTATCTTCATTTTTATTTTTGCAAACTCCAAATCTTACAAGCATGCGAGAGGTATGGGGATCGATACCCCACTTCTCCAGTATTCTTTTTTCATTTCCTTATCAGAATGGATACAGTAAAATCCAAACTAATCCAGTCATGAGTGTGAAGAAATACTATCTTCATTTTTATTTTTGCAAACTCCAAATCTTACAAGCATGGGCATAGTCCTTTTGGTATATTACACATAAAGGGAAAAAATAAAAACATGAGCACAAACGAAAACAAAAGCAGTGCAATAGTAAAAAGAGTCAGTTCTCTTTGGACAATTGAGTATTTCATCCATAACCTCAAGGCGGGAACCTGCGCCCATCAACACGAAGTTGGACGCCAGCTGCTGATGTAGGACGACCATGATGAGGATGACGTACACGAACATGGAGGAAGCAGTGAGGATGACGTACACGAACATTTTAGCCCACCAGTAGTTCGAGACAATAAACAGTTGTAAACAACGTTATATACAACATTTAAACACTGACTAGTGACTACTACTGACATAAACAACAAGACATGATAGTTTATAAGAAGTCTTGCTACACCACCAAAACGCACCCATCTGCAGCGCTCAGACTCTCGTGATCCAGACGAGAATGACATTCTAAACAGAGTCAACTATTACATAGTAAGAGCGACATAGACGAGGATGGCCAAATGACAAGGAATATGCATAACAAAAGAAAGAACTACCCATCCAGAACAAGCAGCAAAGACAACAAAGTCATCCGAAGAGATGATCCAACACCATCATAATTTGCAGCCCCGCTTCAGCGACCAATGATCCGAAGACACCAGTACTCCACCCTTTCGACGCAATAGCCCAATTACCTATCAACCTTAAGGCTTGAACCACATCACTGTCTGTCGTAATTGAGACATCCAAGGATCAAAGTTAATCCGGATGCCTTTGGCATTCTCACCTTCTTTCGAGACTGTATCGTTGACAATCAGGGAAGTTTGCTCCCGAACTCCTAGGGCTCGCCGTGTAGACACATTTTTTCATAACAAACAGAGCCTCTCTGCCAGCAAGGTCCTTGCCAACGGTGATCTCCTGGTTAATCAGATAATTGAGTCCGAGAGGTATGGGGATCGACACCCCACTTCTTCAATATTCTTTTTTCATTTCTTTTTCAGAATGGATACAGTAAAATCCAAACTAATTCAGTTATGAGTGTGAAGAAATACTATCTTAATTTTTACTTTTGCAAACTCCAAATCTTACAAGCATGGGCATAGTCCTTTTTGTATATTACACATAAAGGGAAAAAACAAAAACATGAGCACAAACGAAAACAAAAGCAGTGCAATAGTAAAAAGAGTCAGTTCTCTTTGGACAATTGGGTATTCATCCATAACCTCAAGGTGGGAACCTGTGCCCATCAACACGAAGTTGGACGCCGGCTGCTGATGTAGGACGACCATGATGAGGATGACATACACGAACATGGAGGAAGCAGTGAGGATGACGTACACGAACATTTTAGCCCACCAGTAGTTCGAGACAATAAACAGTTCTAAACAATGATATATACAACATTCAAACACTGACTAGTGACTACTACTGACATAAACAGCAAGACATGATAGTTCATAAGAAGTCTTGCTACACCACCAAAACGCACCCATCTGCAGCGCTCAGACTCTCGTGATCCAGACGAGAATGACATTCTAAACAGAGTCAACTATTACATAGTAAGAGCGACATAGACGAGGATGACCAAATGACAAGGAATATGCATAACAGAAGAAAGAACTACCCATCCAGAACAAGCAGCAAAGACAACAAAGTCATCCGAAGAGATGATCCAACACCATCATAATTTGCAGCCCCACTTCAGCGACCAATGATCCGAAGACACCAGTACTCCACCCTTTCGACGCAATAGCCCAATTACCTATCAACCTGAAGGCTTGAACCACATCACTGTCTGTCGTAATTGAGACATCCAAGGATCAAAGTTAATCCGGATGCCTTTGGCATTCTCACCTTCTTTCGGTTGCAGGCTGTATCGTTGACAATCAGGGAAGTTTGCTCCCGAACTCCTAGGGCTCGCCGTGTAGACACATTTTTTCATAACAAACAAAGCCTCTCTGCCAGCAAGGTCCTTGCCAACGGTGATCTCCTGGTTAATCGGATAATTGAGTCCGAGAGGTATGGGGATCGATACCCCACTTCTCCAATATTCTTTTTTCATTTCTTTTTCAGAATGGATACAGTAAAATCCAAACTAATTCAGTTATTAGTGTGAAGAAATACTATCTTCATTTTTACTTTTGCAAACTCCAAATCTTACAAGCATGGGCATAGTCCTTTTTGTATATTACACATAAAGGGAAAAAACAAAAACATGAGCACAAACGAAAACAAAAGCAGTGCAATAGTAAAAAGAGTCAGTTCTCTTTGGACAATTGGGTATTTCATCCATAACCTCAAGGTGGGAACCTGCGCCCATCAACACGAAGTTGGACGCCAGCTGCTGATGTAGGACGACCATGATGAGGATGACGTACACGAACATGGAGGAAGTAGTGAGGATGACGTACACGAACATTTTAGCCCACCAGTAGTTCGAGACAATAAACAGTTCTAAACAACGATATATACAACATTCAAACACTGACTAGTGACTACTACTGACATAAACAGCAAGACATGATAGTTCATAAGAAGTCTTGCTACACCACCAAAACGCACCCATCTGCAGCGCTCAGACTCTCGTGATCCAGATGAGAATGACATTCTAAACAGAGTCAACTATTACATAGTAAGAGCGACATAGACGAGGATGACCAAATGACAAGGAATATGCATAACAAAAGAAAGAACTACCCATCCAGAACAAGCAGCAAAGACAACAAAGTC